TTTGTGCCTTTGTGTTTGCTGTCACTCGGTGCTGTTATAGAACCTTACTTGACTTGTTTGCCTTTTCTAAATATCTGGCAGAAATTGTTGCAATTGGAAGTTGGGTATAGAAGAACACCAACAACCAGTGTTGAGCAGAGTTTTATAAATGACATAACCCGATATCTACAATTTGAGCATCCCCAAATACAATGTCTTGACCAGCTTGGTTGAAAACAGAAGGTTACTGTCTTCTTTATCAGTGGTGAAACTGGTAGAGCATTCAGATCCAGGGTTGATTTTTGTTGTAAATAATAGACTCAACTTGGCACCTGAATAATATGGAGAAGATCTAGTGGGAATCATAGTTAATTTGATAATTATAGAGAAGATAATCATATGTAGCTCTTCAGCTAAAGGAAATAAGTAACATGAAAAGAAATTTCTCAGGTCTGCTTTAGATTGGCAGAGAATGGTCTATAAAAAGTAGGGAAATATTTTAAATATATACATGCTTAGATAAAAGCTCAGAGATAGAAAAAAATAAGAAATAGAATGTGTGATTATTTGTTAATTTGATACAGGTGAGCCATGATTAGTGTGAGTTCAAATAATCTGATAAATGAATTAGTGTGAATTATATTTTTAAAAACATTTCTATTAAAGTTCATTATAGGACAAAATACAAATAGAAACTAAAGTCAAGACAAATAGACAAAGAAAAAGAAAAGGTGTTAAAATTAAAAAAAAACAGTGACTAACAATTTTTTGCAGTGCAGTAGAATAAAAAAAAAACTTCGACATTTTGCCTTACATTTGTAGTTAATTCAAACTATTTGTTTAACAACAAAGTCAACCTAATTATTAAAACTTTAAAAAGTTTCTAATTTAATGGAGGAATTTACAAAATGACACAAATAGAATTATAATTTTTTTTTTTTGATTGGCCAAATGTGATTGGACACACAAGGAATTTGTCTTGGTCTATGCTCTCAGTGTACATAAAAGAAAAGAAAAGATACGTTCGTCAAGAATCATAAGGTACAACACTTAATGATAGTCATAGGATACAAATAAGCAATCAGGAACAATATCAATATAAATCATAAGGATGCAAGCAACAAAGTTACTTGCAGTCAAAAGTGGAAGGAGATGGTGGGAACACTGAGATGGTGGTGGGAACACTGAGAAGATTAATAGTAGTGCAGACTTAGTAAATAGTTTGACAGTGTTGAGGGAATTATTTGTTTAGCAGAGTAATGGCGTTCGGGAAAAAACTGTTCTTGTGTCTAGTTGTTCTGGTATGGAGTGCTCTATAGCATCGTTTTGAGGGTAGGAGTTGAAACAGTTTATGTCCAGGATGTGAGGGGTCTGTAAATATTTTCACAGCCCACTTTATTATTAGGACATTTGAAATACTCTAAGAAATTTTTGAAGACTAGAGTCAGAAATTAGTAGGTATAGTGTCAGCAATGATGTCTTTTTCTAAGACTATACGACATCCAAAAGATATTAACAAAATAATGAAACTGCAAAAGAGAATATTTTGAGAGATTTACATGATAAAGTGGTGAAATGAATTTTGCCTGATGTAGAAATATTAGAATCAGAAATACTGGACAATTTCAAATGTATGATTATAAAACAGAGAGAACCATTTTTTTTATTTTTATTTTGATTTATATGCCGCCCTTCTCCGGAAATTCAGGGCGGCTTGCAATTCGTTAAGCAATAGCCTTCATACTTTTGTATATTTATAGGACGTCAGCTTATTGCCCCCCACAATCCGGGTCCTCATTTTGCCTACCTTAGAAAGGATGGAAGGCTGAGTCAACCTTGAGCCTGGTGAGATTTGAACTTGCAGTAATTGCAGGCAGCTGATGTTAATAACAGTGCTTTAGTCTGCTGCACTACCAGGGCGCTACCAGTTGGAAACACAAATGATCTGGATAAAGACTTCATACAAATTAAGTCTTGAAAAATAAATTGAAAATACAAATGATAAACCAAGAGAATGGCCTGGATAGTAACTTTATTGGAGATGCAAAAGAGATTTGTTAAATCCTCAAAGAAGTTCTTGTGATAGGAAATTAAAGAGAGATCAAATCTTATAAAAATATCTGAAAGCACCAAAGGCCAAAGTTTTTAAAAATAAAAGGAAGGACTATAAATTTGATTTGTTTGACCAAGGTTAAAATAAGATCTCTAGTAAATATTTATAGACTTTTTGCTAACAGCTGGACTGAAATGTTGATGATTTCTGGATTTATGCCAGTAGTGGGTTTCAAATCCCAGTGCTACAGGTTCACTATCGATAGCCTATGGGCACGGCACTTCTGCGCATGTGCAGAGCATTTTTGATTGACACCTGGGCAGATGGGTGGAGCCTCCAGCTGCCGCCACTATCGGTTCACCCGGGAAGCAACCCCCCACTGATTTATGCATATAGAAAAGAAATAGGTTATGAAACAAAGAGTAGCCTTCTAGGGGCTGAAAAGTTATTAAGTTTGCTTATACTGTGATGGAAATTGGAAGTCATTTCTTTTCTTTTACTTGTTCTTTTTTTCTTGCTCTTTCCTTGTGCTTTTGATAGTTTCTTTCCCTCTCTCTTGCTCTCTCTGAGTTTAGTTGATATTTGCTTTTACTGTTGTAATCAAAATCTTAAATATATATTTTTATTTTTATTTTAAAAAAAGAAGAAGATGGTGATCTAGCATATGTCTCTTCCTAAATTGATTAGATGGGCAAAAAGGAAAAGACAAACCAAATCAAGCCAGTTTTGTACAATTACCAAACATTGGAAGATTGACAATCTAATGCTTCCTTGGAATTGAAGGGCAATAAACGCAAATATTTCTCTTCCTCTACATAACAGAACATAACTCTACATAACTGAAGACAGACCCGGACTCCCTTTCCCCCTATATCTGGGCATTAAAATGACTCTTGAAAGCCCCACTCATCACAGCTTTCCCTTGCAGCCCTCTTCCAAATGGAAATATTAGCAAAATATTATTGGCAGTCTATATATCAATTGGCATTGATATTTCTATCAATGAAACATTTGTTTTGTTCCATAGAACTTTACATCTTATATTTGTTGCTGTGACCACACAAAGAATAGTTTTCTATATGTTGCAATTGTCATCTAGTGTTTACCCAGAAAAATTAGAATAATTTCATCTGCTGGCATTCTGAATTACTTTTTTTCCCTCTTAATCAAGTGTTTCATAGCCATAAATACACCAAACAGATTTATGACCATGCAATGTGCTGTGAGTTGTTGATGTGATCTGTGATATTTTCAGTGATCATACTCCAGCATATTGACCAGAAAGGGGAAAGCACATAAGTTGGATACTACTGGTATCATGGATTGGACCGCAATTCAATGTATTATCCTTTGCCTTATAAAATATGTCATTGGCTCACTGATGTTTGCTAGAGAGACAAGGTCAGCTAGGAAGCCAGCTGGAAGATCTTTTCAATTTGTCCCTCTGACCTCCACACATGAAGTTGCCTGGGAATTCTCAGAGCCACATTGCTTCAGAAACAATTCAGAGATCTCTTTGTTTAAACCCCAAGGTTCTTTGTGTAATATCTCCACTCCTTTAGACACATTCTAATCTTCATATGAAATAAGATGAGCAGTAAAGCCAAATTTATAATTCTCATTAAATTGTATAGCTTGTTTATATTTATCATATTATGATAGGCATTGATTGAGAAAATGAAAGAAAGAAATTATACCCAAATAAATATAAATTAATTATGCTAATCAGTTAACCAAAGTATGTAGGAATCACACCACAGTAATAAAGGGTGATTTTAATTACCTGATATCAACTGGAAGACAAACTCTGCATCAAGTGGGAGATCAACAAATTTCGGACAACTAACTGACAACTTTGTCATCCAAAAGATAGAGGAGGGAACTAAGGGGCTGCTATAATGGACCTCATGAGCCACAGTGGCGCAGTGGTTAGAGTGCTGTACTGCAGGCTACTTCTGCTGACTGCCAGCTGTCTGCAATTTGGCAGTTCAAATCTCACTAGGCTCAAGGTTGACTCAGTCTTCCATCCTTCCAAGTGGGTAAAATGAGGACCCAGATTGTTGGGGACATTATGCTGACTTTCTAAACCACTTAGAGAAGGCTGTAAAGCACTGTGAAGTGGTATATCAGTCTATGTGCTATTGCTATTGCTAATTCTTACTAACAGAGAAAAAGTGATAGAAAGGTTGAAATTATCAGAATTTTGGGTGAACATGACTGTGTCTTGTTGGAATTTAATATAATGCAAACACAAGCAACAGAACATAAACCATTGTCTTAGACTTTAATTCAATATAAAGAAAAAATCCAAGGTACCCATGCAATAAATATATGTAACAAATTAACATCTAGGAGAAAACTCAGTTCTGCACATTCTTGAAGAAGATAAAAGGATCAGAGCCATCTAAATCATACTGAGAAAGCTTTTTCATAAGATAGACACTGAAACATAGAAGTCCTATGTAATGGGCTAGAACCAATTGCCGCAGCCAACTTGCCATGGCCAATTCACCACAGCTAACTTGCCACAGACAACTTGCTGCATGGGAAAACTCACAGCAGAACAAGAATTGCACTAATATTGAAGAAAGAGTGAAATAGAATCATTAAAGAAAGGAGGGATAAAATGAAATGTGAATGATAAAAATTAAAAGATTTTAAAATTATTTTAAATATTGAAATTGAATACTTGAATTGCCCCCAATGAACTGTCCTGTGGTGAGTTGATCATGGTGAGTTCTCTCACAATGAGTTGATTGTAATGAGTTGGCTGTGGTGAGTTGGCTGTAGCTACTTTTTTTTTAAAAAAATTGATTTATATGCCGCCCTTCTCCGGAGACTCAGGACGGCTTACAATGCATTAAGCAATACTTAACCCATTCTGCTATGTAATTGAATATGTTGTATACTCTCTGGCTTAAATGTATACTTGGAAAAATAATTAGACAGGTATATAAAGAAAGATCGTTTACAATTTTCTTTTCATTAGCTGATGTTTGTTGTTCAGTTCAGGTCTAATCACAATGATAAAACACTTGGGAAGAAAGATACACACTAATAAGCCAGCATTGGAGGAAATCATGGAGAAGATCTCCACAGCCAACATATATTTCCCCCTTGTGCTTAGATAAGTTGGAACAAAGCAAAGCCAAACACTGCAGAAGACCAACATGCTGAAGGTTATGAATTTGGCTTCATTGAAGCTATCAGGTAACTTCCTAGCTAAAAAAGCAGCAGAGAAGCTAACCAGAGCAAGAAAACCCATAAAGCCCAAAACACAGTAGGACATGATCGATTCCTCACTGCACTCCAGGATGACTTCTTCAGACATTGACTGCATATCAAAATCTGGGTATGGTGGAAAAATTGTCAACCATACTATGCAAATAGTGGTTTGAACAAGGGAGCAGGAAAAAAGAATAAAAATGACCATTCTCCCACCCACCCATTTCCTCATGTTGGAGCCAGGTTTGGTGGCCATAAATGCTAGAACCACTACAAAGGTTTTGGACAATACACAAGAAACTGCCACAGAGAAGATGAGTCCAAAAGCTGGTTGTCGAAGGAGACACAGAATTTTGTTGGGTCTCCCAATAAATAGAAACACACAAAGGAAAGATAGGAGGAGAGAAACAAGGAGCGTGTAGGTGAGATTCTGGTTGTTGGCTTTGACAATGGGAGTATCTTTATACTTAATGAAAATTATAAGCACCAAAATTGTCTTTAAACAAAAACAAAGAGAAAGGGCGGTAAGACTGATCCCCATGGGTTCTTCATAGGATAAAAAGCTAATCTGCTTTGGAAGGCATGTATTTCTGTCAGGGTTTGGATAATGATCATCTGGGCACCGAAAACAGTCATCCATGTCTGAAAAAGAACAAAAGAGAGATTTATATCCTGCACACAAAAATCTCGTGACACCGAAAGGCAGAGCAAGAGCTGCCTGTAAGAAGCCAGTTGGACTGGGAGTTGATAATACCCTCCATCCCCTGCCCCACCTCTCTCCACCTTCCACACTCCCAAATTGCATCAAAATAGGGGTGGGTTGCTAAGTGAGAAGCAGGAAGCCTCTCCCCCACCCCGGAGAGGGGGAAAAAAGAGATGGCAAAAGGAACTCTGTCTTGCTCCATGTGCCCCAATGATAGGCAGCGGCAGCCGAGCCTCTTTTTTTCCCTGCCCTCTCCGGCACTGGAAACCAAGCATTAGCCACATGCCCAGTCACCCATGGAGAGATCAGCTGGGCTGTGGTACCAGGTGGGAGGCCACAGGAATGGCAGGCAAGTGGGCTGGGCTGTGTGGCCCACATGGGAAGCCACGGGGAAGGCACGCAAGCGGGATTGGACGTGCACTATATGGGAGGCCACAGGGAAAACAGGCAAGTGGTCTGGGCCATGGGCCCCTGTGGGAGGCCGCAGGGAAGGCAAGCAAGTGGGCAGGGCCATGGGGCTGTGTGGGAGACGGTGGGGAAGGCAGGCAAGCAGGATGGGCTGTGGAAGCCCCATGGGAGACCACGGCGAAGGCAGGCAAGCGGGCTGGACTGCAGGGATTGTGTGGGAGACCACAGGGAAGGTGGGCTGGGCTGGGGGCCATGGGGGTGGCAGCAGGGTGAAGGGTGAAGGAAGGCTCACTAGGCAGAGATCAACTGAGCCACATGGTTGAGGCAAGTGAGGGAACCAAAGAGCAGCAGCTCTAGTGAGTGGGCGAGGCAAGAAAAGGAGTGACATGGGTGGGGAGGGGAGGCATGGGTGGGGCCAGCCAGTGGTGGGATCAGCCAGTTCTCCGAACTGTGCAAAAAGTTAACAACCCATTCACCTGAAGCAGTGTGAACTGGTTGAATCCCTCCTCTGTATAATAGGTACTATATGCTTAGCCCCATTATATCTTTAATCTCCCTACCCTTCTCCTCTGATATTTTCCCTTCTGGACATGGAAGACAATCATAGCAGCAAAATGACTCCCCTTCTTGCTTGACCTTGCTGTATCCTGCCCTACAAGGATCATTACATAAAGACCAAGGTGGTGCCTAACAAGAAATTAAAAAAATAATAATATCTTTGATATAGGAATTTCAAGCATTATAAAAATTAAAATGCAAAGCAGCCAAGAAATATCAAACCTATATCATTCATACATGTAAGTAGGATTTCCTTTTTCACAGTAAGAGCCCTAACCCTGGTCGTGGTACCAGGTTTTAGAGTCTCACAAAAGGTGAGCATGATTGTGGCCATCTTGACCTCCAGAGAAGTTCCAGTCAAAGTGTTCTAGAGCATAAAAGGAACATTTTATAGGCTTTAAGCATTCTTTGGCAGGTGGAACCTGAAGCATATTCCACCTGCCTGCCTGCCTGGAATGGACTGGAAGTGAAGTGAAGTGAAGTGAAGTGAAGTGAAGAGAAGAGAAGAGAAGAGAAGAGAAGAGAAGAGAAGAGAAGAGAAGAGAAGAGAAGAGAATGACAGAGTTGGAAGGGACCTTGGAGGTCTTCTAGTCTAACCTCCTGCTTAGGCAGGAAACTATACACCACTTCAGACTGGCAACCTATTTAACACAGAGAATAGTCATATTACATATGCTAAATAACCTAGTAGTCATTTACTAGATGCTCTGTTGAATTCTACACTAGTTAAACTCTCTCTCAGACTACACTAGTCTGAACTCTCTTCAAAGGCAGCTCCATGTCGATACATAATCCATATGAGAGGTCAGAAGGAAAACTGTGACAAATATTTTTATACAAATATTTCAAATGTAAACATTCATGCACGTCTTTTTTTCCTTTCCCCATGAGATTTCTACAGAGGTTAACCAAGAGATGATGCTATGGATTTTCTATCAATAGAGAGACATTTTTATGTTGTATAAACAAATACAGACAAACCTACATTCATACATCTAACCTGAGGAAAGCCTACTGGCCAAGCAATGGAATCCCCAGAGATATTGAAGAATTTGTCAGGTGGAGCTGTGGGGTCTATTCTCCCAACTTTGACCCTAATAAAGGACTGGTTTGGGAATGTGATCCAGTTGATAATATCAAATCCGCCAATGAATTCTCCATTTTTGTCAAAAGTGATCTTTTCACCAACACTGTTGTTGAATGAGACACTTCTTAGAAAGGAATTAAGCTATAATAGAGGATTAGAGATAAAAAGAGGGAGGAGGGAGGGAGGGAGGGAGGGAGGGAGAGAGGGAGGAAGGAAGGAAGGAAGGAAGGAAGGAAGGAAGGAAGGAAGGAAGGAAGGAAGGAAGGAAGGAAGGATGAAGGATGGATTTATACTGGATATTGCTTGTTTGCTTTAATTTTAGTTTTAGATTAGGACCAAACAAATAATACAACAATCATTTGAAAACAAGAATAGAAGCAAAATATCATATTAATACAATAAAATGAAAATGTATAAATATTGTGTGTGTGTTTACACAGACACAAACTTACATACAGTATATACACACACATACACACACACACACATATCTTGATTTAGCTCACAATCACCTCACTTAGAGGTTATTTGTGTTCAATCATAATTCAGATATAGAAGGTCAGGTTCAGCTAGTAAGAATACAGGTATTTCTAATTCTAGAAACAGGAGTTTCTAATTCTTTCTATTGCCTGGCTATGGTGTTATAAGTGTGGAAATATATACCTACACCTCAGTGGTGAAATGTAAAATTTGTTACCACCGGTTCTATGGGTGTGGCTTGGGGTGGGAGGTTAATGTGACTGTTTTCTTTTAAAAACTTTTTTTTTTTTGCTTTTAAAAGAAAAAAAGCCTCTGACGATCAGGCAACTCATCTGGGATCATCAGAGCTTTTTAAAAGCATTTTTTCTACAACCTCTTTGGCTTTTAGAAGTCTCTGACGATCCCAGCTGAGCCCCGTGATCATCAGAGCCTTTTTTAAAAAAAACTTTTAAAAGCATTTTTTTGGCAGAAGAAAAAATGCTTTTAAAAGTTAAAAAAAAAAAGCTTCTGATGATCATGCGGCTCAGCTGGGCATGGGGGGTGGGCAGAGATTTTTGCTACCGGTTCTCCAAACCACCCACTGTCATCACTACCAGATCAGGTGATCCAGTCTGAACCGGGAGCATTTCACCCCTGCTACATCTCAGAGATGACCCAAAGTGACCCAAAATTTCCATTTACTATGTCATAGAACATTCCCTACAAATGGTTAGAAAGGACGACATTATAACAGGCAAACTCTTCTAGTGCCTTTAGGGACTATCTGTATTGATAAACTGCATAATTTGAAGATGGTTCTGTTGTAATTTTCATTACAATACAATACAAAAATTTGACAATTAATCAGGATTTTTTCAGGTTGCAATTGGAGCAAATATGTATAAGCATTTGAAATAATCAGATAAATCAATATTTTCCATGACTTTCCTAACTCTTGATTAACTTGATTAATTTTTTTTAAAAAAATGACTTCTGAGTGTAGAATAACCCTGGCAGTGAATAAAGCAGAACAGCAATGTAAGTGAGCCTTAATAGAAGGTCTATGATGAAATTCATGAAGAACATCATCAGGATATGCCTTGAAAATTGGGCATACAAAAAGGTCTGTATTATTCATTGCAAACATTGCAATCAAATCATCTAGAAAAAAAGGTTACCAAGCCTCTGATCCAGCCCAAAATGGAGATAGAGTGGACCATCTACATCCATCTGCTTGTAGACTCATCTTTATGACTGTTAATTTGATGGATTGAAGAATATTCAAAAGATTGTTGCAGGAGTTTTATACGAGCATATAAATATTCCAGTTCAATAAGTCACAAGTTTATTTCACTTTTATAATCATATCAATGTCCTAAAAATATTATTCATTAAGGTTGATGGACAGATGTTGCTACTACATATATGGTACATTTCTCTGCTTTAGATCTTACCTGCCATAACACTTGGTTCGGAAACTGCTGCCTTCTTTCTTTCACTACTATCTTTTGCCTGGACTTTGATAAATACAGAGATTGCAAAGCATGTGCCACAGCATAGACTGCATTGTAAATATTATAGCTCTGGCCACTCATGCGTGTTTCAAACACGGATGTAGGAAGGGTCTCAAGCCTCTCCTGTCCAGTACATTTCTTCTCAGACGTTTCTGCTTCAGGATTGGTGAAGAAACAGTTGAATGCCTGTTCCCAGAAATCTTTCCTAAAATAATCATGCTGGTTGTTGATTGGACTTATACTTTCAAGAAACTTTGGAAAGTCTTCAATGTCCTTTGTGTGAATTGCAAAGGATAAAGCACCTTGCAGGAAATGGATATCCCATGATCTATGAAAGGAATTGGAAGTGTAATCTGTCTGAGCTGTTGTAACCCAGATTTTTGTCTTCTTTGGTATATCTTCCACTTCTGACAATTGCAAATACATTCTCAGAAAAGTTATGGACCTACTTTCACCATATAAGACTATGACATTGGCTGTGCTGTTCATGAGAACTTGGTATATATGGAGTCCTTCAGCTACTTGAACATTAAAATCAATGTAAAATGCTACATAAGGAAAGTCTTGTATGAAATCAAAGCAGATGCCATGCTGGGAAAACATGGGAAGCACCTCCTGGACAAATTTCTCTCCATTGTCATCATTCACGGCCAGAACTCCAATCCAGATCCATCTAAAATGCAACAAGAGCTGGAGAAGAGCACTATGCTGGTGGGATTCATCTGGAAACATTTGTTGGAAGAAAACTGCTTGAGTCTCTTTATTCATGAGTGGAGCAGAGCCATAGGTCAGCTAAAGGAAGCAAAAAACAAAGATTGTTGGGAGCTCCTGAAAATGTGTACATGCAATTGAATCTTTGGGTGTCTAGATTCAGCAGTCCATCTGCATTTAAAAGACAAAGGCCACTCTTTTGAAAACAGCAAAATCCACATTTTGGACAGTGAGAACCACTGATTTGAAAGAGGGGTCAAAGAGGCCATCCATGCCAAAACTGAATAGCCCTCTCAACAGAGGGGAGGAGGGATGCAACATCATCTGTCTCCAGTCTACAACACAATCCTTTCAACAGTTCCAAGAAGACTCCACACCCATTTGCTCCAGGTCACCTTAATGACTCACGAAAAGAATGAAAATGACCAGCTGTCTGCAAGGAGTATACATCCTTTCATTCCCCAGCATGCAGTAAGAGCTGAAGAAGCTTCTTGGGTGAGAAGAAAAATGTATTTTAAAAAACCCAGAAAGTCCAGTTACCTCTTGAAAAAATAACTTTGGGACATTTATTTCCAAACATATCCACGATACAGGAGTGAAAGCAATATTTTTGTGGAAGAACTCTCATTGTGTTTGTTGTCTTTGTAAAGAAATGCAAAACACATGCAGGCACACACACACACATAGCAGAACTGTACTAGAAAAGGAAAAAATAATGCTGAATTTAAATTTGGTGTATGGAATTGAAGAATATTTACATATTGCGAAGACATTCTGGACAAAGTTGCTGTTGTTAGTCATTCTAAATTGCCTATCCAATCAAACAGAGATGAATGTCTCTTCCAAGTCCAAAATATCTTTTCCTTCTTCCTACTCCAATCTTTTCAGAATATTTTGGAGATGCTATTGGCCTACAGAAGGAAGCATCCATGGATGCCCAAGACATTTAAAACACCATAGCTATTGTCTTCTTCAAAATGTCAAATTTCTCTGCTTTTCTACTGGAGAAGAATACAGACTTGTTGGATTAGAAATGAAGGGAGGTTTCTCAATGTTTAGAGGACATAGAGACTTTATTACAACTGGAGGAGGATCCCTAAGTACTGATTTTAAGCAGGTTGATTTCCTTATTATTTTGAAATAGACATACAGGCCAGTTCTTCTCTCTACTTACTATTTAGATAAATCTTCAAAACTTCCTTAATGGGTATCTATCAAAAAGTTGTATATAATCTGAACATGCTCTTCATCATAAAAGCTATCACTCTAAGCTTGTTCAGGTAGTCAGTCATCACTCTTACCTGAGGAACTTTGTAGATGTTTAGAACAGTTCCCACATGAAGACAGATGTCAGGTCCCATAAGGACAGCAGCCAGGTTTTGGGGGACCCCACATTTGTAGTTAGGAATGAATTTACCCTGGGTGAAGGGAAGCCCCATGGAAGCAAGGTAAGTCCAACCTGGACTAAAATTGCTATTATAGATGTGAAAGCCCAGTGTGACATTGGGCAGGATCTGAGTATTTTCATTGATCTCCTTGAGAGCAAACACTAAAGCCAGAATGTGCTGGTAGTTTTGATAAAAATATTCTGTAACAAGAATTACATAACACATTTAAAAGAGTCTGCTTCAGATGATGGCATGTCCAATATTCCAGACTTATATCTCAAAGAAAGAAACTCTATTTTCCTACACTAATAGCAATTTAAACATTAATAATAGGTAATACAGTTCCCTCAGATTTTACTTGTACTTACATCATGTACACAAATCTATATTTTTTACCTAGAATGAATTAGATATAATTTGTCATAATGGACTTTTGATCTGCTTTCATGTGGCAGCATTAAAATGTACATTGAAAATAAATCCAGGTATCCTATGTTTGAAAAAAAGGTGTTTCTGGGTTTTGTTATTATTGCTCAGAGGGAAGATTTTTGAGCATCGTATAACTAAACAGCTGCAAAAAATCAATCTATTAGGAACGTACATAAGTCCGTCTTGAAGCTCCTCAGAAGGATGTCGACTGAAATCAGTGGGATCAGAAAATGATGAGAATACAGAAATAATGCTACCAATGCTAACTTCTCCAAGCTGATGATATGTGTGACGAATAGGAACAGGCTCATCATGGTCACATTGAACATTAGGATCCTGGCATGCCACCTGAGGCATTACTGTCAACAGTGATGCCATCAGTGCTAACATCATCCACATAAGTCTTCTTTTGCTATACAAATGTCCCTGTCTGCAACATGATTCTTGAAGGTGCCCAAGTAAAACAGTCTAACATGACTTCTTCAGCTGTTTTTCAGGCAAAATAGACAGTAATATCTACCACTGTTTATACTCATAGAGTTCTAAGGGCTTCTAGTTTGAATGTCATGGGAAACATTAACAATGCTGTCATGGTCAGGTTATTTTTTTGCCTTGGTGTCCCATAGGATTTGGAAGACACAAACAGGCTAATTTCATAATGGTAGCGATAGAGAAGCTCCTCTATAGAGATTTTTTTTACATTCACAACTAAAAAAAAACCTGAGGGCTTTCTGAGAAAAGAAGTGATGGAAAAAAAATTGAAATCACTATATATCTCAGTGTAGAAATATGGAAAGAAAAATAGAAGTATATAATAATAAAAGTAGATAAAAACATGATAATCCACCAGATGGATTCATAACTGGCTGACCAACCACATTCAACGTTTAGTCTTCAATGGGACTGCTTCTACATGGAGTGAGGTATGCAGTGGGGGACCCAAGGGCTTTTCCATTCATCTCCCTCCTTTATGCGGACTCATTAGTAGGCTTCCCTAGATCTAGCTTGCTGAAGATCTTGCCTTTTGACAAGTGGTTCAGCAAGTCATTCATTAGGGGTAAGGGGTAGGTATTTGGTATGCAAATGGCATTCGCACCCCTAAAATCAATGCATAATCTCAGCCCCTCCTCTTCTCTTTGAACAGTACAGGGGCTGCCACTCTAGATTTTGCAGTCTCGATGAATCGTCTGGCTAAGTTGGTATCAATGTACTTCCTCAATTCTGTCATTTCCGCCGCAGGCGTCATGGAGTACATTCTGGGTTTTGGTAACTTGGCCCCAGGTTCTAATTCAATGGCACAATCCATGGCTCGATGAGGGGGGAGGATGTTACATTCCTCCTCACTAAATGGCTCGGCTATGTTTCTATGTTCCTTAGGAATCTGGGGGTCGCCTGGAGGTAAGTCTGAATCGGCGGCTGCTGTTTCTGGAGGTTGGCAGTCTCTTGGGAGGAGGGACCGGGGGAAGTGGGTCAATTATGATCTTCCTGTATCTATCTTCCCATTTAATGGTAGGGGCCCATTTTTCAAGCCACACAAAGCCTAATATGATGGATTTAGACATCTTGGGAGCTACTATAAATTGTATAAATTCACGATGCATTCCAATTTCTAATTTAACCAGTTCTGTAATTTGGGTGGCTGGTACCCCTCCAATTAATGTTCCATCCACCTGTTCGAACTTAATTGGGCATTTCAGGGCTCTAGTTTGTATCCTTAATTGTTCAACAATTGGATGCCCAATTAGACGTCTGGTACAACCTGTATCTATTACTGCTGATACTTCTCCTTGCTCTCTAGTCTCAGGCACCACCAATCTCACTTTAATTGAAAAGGGAGGGGTGGCTGCACTCACCATCAGTCATCTTCATCGATAGCCTCGCTGGGAGGAGCTCCTTTGGCCAAAGGTTCCTCACTCTCCTCGGTGGGGAGGGGAACCTCTATGGCTTGTTGGGCAAATCGGCTGGTGTCTGGGGGCTTTCGTGAAGCCCTACTGCCTCTGGTGGCCGTGACGGGATATTGTTGTGGAACTGGTGCAGGTGCTAGGCACTTGGAAGCTCGATGACCCATTTGTCCACAATGGTAGCATTTGATAGTCCCTGTAGGTTGAGAAGGAGGGGCCTCAACTGGCTTAGACAGAGGACATCTAGCCCAAATCCTCTGGGGTGGCTTCTCTGCTGAGGGTTTGTGGTGTGGGTTGATTTCTCTATCCAGAGCTATGGACATGGTATACCAGTCCTGTAGCCACTCTGGCATTCCTCGAATACTACATGCTTTTCTGACTTCCTGATAAATGACTTCTTTAAAATAGTGTAGGACTATGCAGTCCGGCCAATGGCCAAGGTTTGCTGTGACCCATCTAAAGTCCCATACAAAGTCTTTTAGGGTCAATTACCTTGCTTCATCACTTTTATTGTGGCTTCATTCTCATTGATTCAACCAAGGTCTTTGAATCTGGTATGGAACAGCTCAACAAAACCTTCAGCATCAGTTCAGCAGCTCCCTCATTGTGCAACTGGACTATCCAGTCCAAAGCGTCTCCTTCATTCATCCCCTCTGAAATTGCAGATACTAAGTTGCAATCTGTTTCATATTGTTCTCCACATGGCTCTATATGGGCCCAGACTTGGCTGAGGAAGTAAGCCAGGCTTACCATAAAATGTGGCTCTAAAATGGGGTGGTGGCGGCTTTTCTGTGGAACGGCCATGGCAACGGGCAGTGGGGCTGGGACCTGCTGTTGAGCTGCGGCAGGTGGTAGGGTGAACATCGGCAGCTGAGCTGGAAACTGTGGTGGCACTGCTGCTGGCTGCTGGATTGTGACTGGTGGTAGGACAGGGACCAGCTGCTGTGCTGGTTGTTGAGCTGCAGAAAGGAGGGGCGCTCCAGCCGGCTGCTGGATCAGGCCCCACTGCTGTGTCGGGATTATTGGGGCATATTGAGCACATGGGGATCCCGGAAAAATTGGAACAGAAGGTGCTGGCATCCACTGGCACTGGACCCACCCCTGGTCTGGATAGAATCCCCAGCCTGGGGGGATATATTCCACAGGGGGTAGCATGAAGGCAGGTTGCGGGGGGCAGCTGGAGGGGATAGCGGTCCCCATGCTGGGTGCATCTGCTGTCTCCCTCCTGCCGCATGGCCTGGTTGTGCCGATCCGATCCCCCGGTCATCCCTGGCTGCGTGGAGAGTTGCCAGTGCCACCCTAGTTCTACTGCCAGGTCCTGGATCAGGAAAAGTGAATGTAGGTTGTGTTAAGCTCCATCACACTTGAGGATGTTGGGGCCATGGGGCATAACTTCCACTTCAAGTTACTCAAAACGCTCTGGGAGCCAGGTCAACAATTAGCTCCAAGACAAAGGCAACAGTTTCCAGTCTCATGACTAGACTAATTGTGAAAAATATGACAAACCTACAAACGAAAGAATTAGAAGACTTATTAGGCCTCCAGGTAGTTAAGAAGATAAAATATCTGGGAATATGGATTACGGCAAGACTCTCTTCTTTAAAAGATGATAACTATATCCCTTTATTGCAGAAAACTAATCAAGACCTTGATAGGTGGAGGAGGCTTAAATTGTCCCTGACTGGTAAAATTGCGGCGATCAAAATGAATATTTTACCGAAATTTCTATTTCTATTTCAAAATATACCGATATCACTAGATAAAATTTTTTTTTTCGGATATGAATAAACATATCAGGAATTTTTTGTGGGAGGGTAAGAAATCGAGGATTTCTCTCAAGACACTTCAAGGGAAAAGAAATTTGGGAGGGTTCGGGCTCCCTGACTGGGAATTATATCAAAAGGCGGCAAAAATAATTTGGATAAAGGAGTGGATCAAATTACAAGAAGGTAGAATCTTGACACTAGAAGGACACGATCTCCTTGAAGGATGGCACGCTTACCTCTGGGACATAAAGGATAGGAAGAAAACTCATTTCTATAAACATAAAATTAGAGAGACATTGATTCGTACGTGGCTGGAAATTAGACAGAAGATATATACCAAGGTTCCTAGCTGGTTGTCGATTATGGATGCTCTAGTGGCCCCAAATAGAAGAGGGAACTATAAAATGGGCACATATAAGGATATCTTGGATGAAGAAGGGAAGCTCAAACCCTTGGAAGTACTGAGGGACCAGGGGTTTATTCTGGATTGGTGGAAATATCTTCAGATTAAGTCTAGATTTCAAGAAGATAGAGATAAATGTGGTATTGAAATGAAATATGGATATTTTGACAAAATTATTTGGGGACCAGATAAGAAAATGCTATCGAAAATCTATAACTTTATATTAGATGAGGATAGAGCCGAGAAGATAGCTAAAAATCAGCTAAGCATTTGGGAGAAAAATTTTAGGATATGGCCTTAATTTCAATGACTGGGAGATAGCTTGGAACAGAAATCTCAAAATAACGAAATCGGTAACATTCAGGGAAAATCACTACAAAATGTTGCATAGGTGGTACCTAGCCCCGGACAGGCTGGCCAAAATATTTCCAAATTCTTCTGCTTTATGTTGGAAATGTGGAAAGACGGTCGGCACCTTTTACCATCTGTGGTGGACTTGCCCTGAGACCAAAAAGTTTTGGTTAAAGATCCGACTCTGGCTCTCGGAAATAATGGGACAAGAGATAGCCCTGGCCCCGGAATCCTTCCTCTTAGGTATGATTGAAGATGGTCTCAACAACAATAAAACCCAACTGGCAATTCAAATTATTACTGCGGCTAGATTAGCCTTTGCGAAACTCTGGAAATCCAACTCTACCCCTCTGAAGAAACATTAATAAATAAAATTCTAGAGTGCACAGAGATGGCCAAATTGACGAGCGAGCTAAAAAATGAAGAGAACTTTAAGTACTACGAAGTATGGGGAATTTGGTATAACTGGTTAAAGAACAGGATAAAAATATGATAATAGGCTACGATTTGTTAGACACCCGAAATGGACTTAATTGTATAGAAATGTAGAGAAATGTATAGAACTGCATATTGTATACTATGGATGGAATTCATTTAATGTTTGATCTATGAAATGTGTAAACATTGCACCTCGGATCAAGATTGTGATTGTACATTGTCTTTTTAAAAATTGGAAAATTCAATAAAGTATTTAAAAAAAAAAAAAGAATGACTAGATCAACAAAGCAAATAAATAAATAAGAAATAGAAGAAGACATTAAAATAACATCATTGAATATAAATGGATTAAACTCAGCAATAAAGAGAAGAAAAATATTCAATAAATTAGAGAAGTTAAAATTAGAAATTATATGTTTACAAGAAGTGCATATTAGAAAGCAACATACAAAATTTGGAGCAAATAAAACTAGGGACATTGTATACAACTTTGGCTGGTCAAAGCAAAAGAAGAGTAGCATTTTACATCAAACAGACAATACAATCCTCATATACAAATATATGAGGATGAGGAAGGAAGAGTATTAATGGTAGAAATTGTAATGAACTATAAAAAATATTACTTGGGTATATATGCTCCAAATGAAAATCAAGAAGAATTTTATGCAAACATTATATGGAAGTACCAATGTGGCTTTCAACAATAGAAGTGTTGACACATTCAAATATGATTAACATGGACAAGATTGTAAGATATAAAGACATTTTAACAAAGAAGGGAGAATTAAAACAGAAACAAGACTTAGAAAAACAAGGGATTGAGACTGACTGGTAAACATGGCTGCAGATACAATCAAGATATGATAAAGACTTGAAACAATATGGTTTTAATTTGGGGAAATCAGAGTTGGATAAGATAATGATTGGAAAGGATTAAAAATGATTAAAAAACTGTATAATTATTTGTTGCAAATTAAATTGGAAGATGAAGAGACAATGATAACATGGGTGAAAAATTTTGGATATGCAATAGAATTAGAGAAATGGCAACAACTATGGGAAAGGAATTATAAATTGACAATGGCAATTGCATATAAAGAAAATCTTTATAAAATGTTTTATAAGTGACATATGCCACCAGAAAGATTAGCAAAGATGTTTAAGGATAAATCAGCCAAATGTTGGAAATGTTTGCATTTGCTGGGATCATACTATCATATGTGGTGGTTATGTTTAGAAGCAAAAAATTATTGGTCTAGAATACAGAAATGGTTGGAAGAAATATTACATAAATCTTTAGAATTAAAACCAGATGTTCTTAATTGGGTATTCTCCCAGAGAGATATAGTAAAGAAGATGTGCATTTAACTATACAAATAATAACAGCAGCAAGAATTGTGTTTGCACAAAATTGGAATACAGAAAAAATTCCGTCAGATGGTGAAGT